TAAATTTTGTTGCAAGTGATGTATAGTTAGATAAATGGGGTAGCGGTCTGTCTAAGCTAAGTCTACACTCGGTTAGCATAAGAACATCAACTTCAAAATTAAGGTGCGATAGTGTAGATTCAAAGTCATCAATATTTTTGTAAATACTACGAATATTTTGGCATATTAAGGTTAGGTCATTTTTGAAAACATTTATATATTTAGTTAAATCCTGTATATCACATTGAGTAGAGTTCTCTATTTTTGAATCGTCCATGTCTTGTATAGTAGAAAATGTACTGTTCATTCTACTTTTATAAAATAATAAAATGCATTAGCAATTTCGTTAAAGAGTTTGTTGAATATTATAAATAATTGAGTAGAAGGTAATTTTGCGAAGTGATTAGTTCGATGTGTATATATAAAAAGATTAAAATAAAAGTTTTTATATATGTATAATAGCAACGTAATGTGCAGGAGGGTAGGGTGACAGAGGAACCTAAGAGAAGTAGCAATAGTTACAGTAGTCTGAGTAATCTCGAACTGTTTGTTAAGATATGACTGTGTTATATTACTAGAAGATGAATGTGTGAAAGTGTATCTGAGTGATTGCCTTTTTTACATTTGTGTGCTGAACAATTAAAAACAAAAAATAAATATACGAAAACACGATAGAGCTTACTCTAATATAAACGAAGAGATTGCATGTATATTGTAGAACGGCTTTTAGTCAGGTGTCTATCTTCAGCTGCTGGATTTGCGATTCATTTTTAATTAGTATTATTTTGGAGTTATCGTCTTTCCTCAAGTAAACCTTCCCGTAAGATGTCCAACAAAATTTATACGAATGTGTCTTGCTAAGGTCGCGTGCAAGAAAATAGAGTCGAGCAGCCTTAGCTGTTAACTGCTCTGATACAAAGATAGGATTATTTTCTACACCTGAAGACTTAAGTCCTAAATGATGAGCACTGAGTTTTGATTTGTAATTTTTTTTTGTTGAACTCCTTACATTTTTTCAAAAAATCATTTTTTTGTATTGTAGATAATGTCTCCACAATAATAGGAGTGTTCTTAATATTTTCTCTCTTTCCACGGACTCTATACACATCCTTAATATCTGAACTTACCATTTGGCAGCCGATAGTGTTGGATAGACTTAAAACCATTTCAATAAGGTTTGTTTTACTCTCGTCGTTCTTTCTTGGGACGTTCTTGATTTCCAAATTTGTTTTACGTCTATCTTTTTGCATGTCCTCTATTTTATCTTCCAAAACCGCTATATAGTTCCTGTCCTCCTTAATTTGTCCTTCTAGCTTAGAAATCCTTTCTTGAAATTCCTTGTTTTGTTCTGTCAAAAAAGTAATAGAATTTTCGATATTTTGGTTAGTTTTTTGGATTTCTTTGAGAATGCTTGCATTTTTTTGAAATTCAAGATTTTGAGAATTCATAAGCGATAAGAACATGTTCTTCATTTCTTCTTTTAAATTAGCCAATTCCGTAGTGTAATCTTCATCTCTTCTTCTCTTTTTCCGGGCAGTTAAAAAGTTTGGTGTGGTGGTTTGATGTGCAATTTCCACTTCTGTATCTGACAACGATTTATTCATGGTATCCATTTGCTCACGATTAGGAGACTATAAGTGAATAGAAGTTAGTTATGCTCTTCAATACGTAATCGCAAAATGGTGCAAAAAACAGTGCGGCAGCAATGTCCTATGGCAAGCAAGGGGTGGAGTCTCGTTTGAGTGGGTTGGACTAAAACGCCAAAATGGCCGAAAAGTGCGTATGCAGATAGGCTAAGCGCACACGCAGGTTGGTCAATGACGACATAAAGTATGTCCGCAAAAGGGGGATGCGTACTAGGCGATCAGAATATAAGGTTTGACTCACAGTTTTGCTCACCTCCACTGCTTTCTGCACTCCTATTTTTTTTTCTCGAATTATCAACACTGATTTGATTATTTAAATTTGAAAATATAATTGACTTAGGTTTTACAAACGAGTACACCTTGCGGCGGTCCAGGAGGAAGATGAGATGATCCTTCACCGCCGAGCACGTGGTAAATCAGCACAATTGCAATTAACAATTTCATTGATACCGGCGGGGATCGAACTCGGGTCTGCATGTCTGAGAAATTAAAAAATATATATTTCGAAGAAATGTGAAGTTCGTCAACACGCATTGAGGCAGCGTGGCGGACATTTCCTTGCCTTAAAACCCTCTCAGAAATTAGAGGAGGCCTGTGCCCAGCAGTGGGACGTATATAGGCTGTAACTTTACTTTTTTTTTACTTTTATAAATATATTATTTTACCGACGAAAATTTTAAAGAAAAATAAAAAATAAGCAACCGACAACCTCCTAGGTCCCTAGGTGACTTGCGAGATGTCAGTGTAACAAAACAAAACGGCCCAGAAAAACAGACTTTCCAACTGATAGCTAAATCAGCACGCAACAATTTCATTGGTGCCAGTGGGGATCGAACCCGGGTTGCTCCCGTACTGTGATACCTATAACGAGCGCTAACCATGTGAGCTACCACGGCTCTCAACGACATCGTTCCGTTCGTGTACAGCGCTGAAGATAGCAGAGTAAAAAATTAGAGATTGTGGTGTTTGAAATTTTAAAAAATGTGTTTTTGTTACTAGTACTTTCATATGCATTTAATAAAAAGCTGTTATTTTAACATTACAAACAGACACTTAAATTTTATTTATTTGTAGATATAGATATAAGATATTATTCATATTGGTGTCATTTTAAAGGGATTATCATGTACTATTATAATAATAAAATAATTCTCTTCAGTAAATATTATGCTTTTCTTGTAAAACTCGAAATAACAAATAAATACGATTTCTTAAATTTACGCGAACACTACACATTGAATAAAACTATTATTTACGGATTTTATCGCGTTTAATTACTTTAATTTATTTTTATTATTATCCCGACGTTTCGGGTGCTTTACAGAGCCCATGGTCCCCCCGTGACCATGGGCGCTGTAAAGCACCCGAAACTTCGGGATAATAATAAAAATAAATTAAAGTAATTAAACGCGATAAAATCCGTAAATAATAGTTTTATTCAAATAAATACGATTTATTTTTATATTCCCATAATATGCTTTATTTTCATCCTTTATTTTTTATTTGACCAATTTTCTTTTAACAAAATTAAATTCTGAATTGGTTGAGCTTTTTGAGAATATTTTTATTTGAATGTTAGGTAGGTACCTATTTAGTTTTTCAGTAGTAATCGTTTTTGCCTACCTACTACTACCTGCCTAAGTACGTCGGTACTAAGGAAACAGTCTTGAGGTCGATTTCACAAGTCGAATTAATTTGACACTTTTTTTTTCGCTTTGTGCAAATACCCGTTTTATTGTTATCTGACGGTCCATAACGTTTACTTTTATGAAGTTAATACATCAGAATGTAAAATCACGGTGCGTATCTACTCAAAAGTGACAAAAAATCAAGATCAGGGTAACACGAATGATATACCTGGGAACACGAATGAAACTCGCATAACACGAATGAAGTCTGCATGACACTAATGATATTGGCTAACTAAATCAGATACTTTACTATTATAATATTGGGTACGTAGTACTATTACGTTTTCTGTGATTAATCTTTTTTAATAATGCACAAGAAAATACGTATGTTAGCATTTTTAGGTGAGAACAAAAACAAAAACACTTTTATTAAACTTTTAATCAAAAGACATTTAAAAACAATACAAAACAAATTTTAAGAATACACGATTACGTAACATAATTATTTCTGTGATCTACAAAAATATAAGTAACAAACTTTTTGGTTATAACAACGTATAATTAATTATGTAGGCATATATTTCTCATAAAAGTATTTCTACCTCACTTATTTATTTATTCAGTCATTTTGGATAGGTAATATTATATTAATACTTAGTTAAATCTTATAGCTAGTTTCTTATTCAATCTTGTTGATTTCTTATTTTTATCATTTCAATTCTTTGATTTAATCGAATCGTTTACAAAAAGTTTATAATAAAAGATTCCACTCAGTTGATATTTTCCATTCCAGTAAGGATAAGTTTAAGAAGGATGTCTTGAAACTTCTGATGTAGTGAGTTTATCTCTTTTGTAACTCATTAACTCATACACACACACACACACACACACACACACACACACACACACATGCCCGCGTGCGAGGGAGGCGTATACGAGCATTATGCATGTTGAAAATCTTTTAATTTTCTTGTAATGTTTTCTAGATGTTTAAAAATATGTATTTTTAGTCCCAACTACTTTGTCTTCAACATGTCCGTTATAAATTGAAAATACTATTTAAATAATGTAAATCCGTTTTTGGCTATAATTTAAGATCATAAGATGTATGTACGATGTAACAAAGAGCTGTGGATTTTGTTTGAAATAAATAAAAAATAAAAAAATTTATTTTCGTATTAACTTAATTATGTAATCAGTCTTGATCATGTTTTAAAGTTACCATTACTTTCTATTTCTCCATTTTTCTTATTCCGTATTCTCAAAAGACCGTTCATTAATAAAGCGGAGGAAAGCCTCTTCATGCCCATTAGACACCTTCTGTTGTGTGTTTATGAACGTTTGATTTGTCCAATCAAATTTTACATCTGCAAGTCTTTTAACAGATTTTATAATTTTGCGTGTTCCGGAAGTAGACGGATTATTGTTCCGATTATAATACTGGATGGATACATCGCTCAATACCGTAATTCGTTTGCTTGGTGGAATAACTTTTATATTTTGGACAGCCGATTCGACGACACTCTTATAAATTTTATGTAATTGCATATGTTTATCCTCATGTTCGCAGATTTTATCCAAACACAAAAAACAGCTTAGTTTTCGGAACTCAAGAAATTCTGATCCAGAATTCCAGATCACTTGGTGAACTAACATAGTACCCTTGAATGGTGAAATATCCTTAGGAAGAAGAAGTTCTTTTTCTATAATTTCATGCTCCTCTACTACTTTTATCTCAACATTTTTAATATTTTCGCGAACAACTGCAAGGAATGTTGAAAAATCCCCCGACGTCACGCCCACATTTAACTTGATGATCAGCTGTCCGCTTAACCACAGCGCCAATGCCGTCAGGAGCGCCTTTGCCATGACCACTTTCTTGGTAATTCCAAGTAACTAGCTTTAACGATGGGAAGGTATCGCGGAGCTGAGTCAATATGTAAAATATTTGTTTATTTCGGTATTGGCTTGTTGGACTATCTGTTAAAATGTGGGCGGTGGTAATATAAGGACATTTTTCGAACACAAATTGTAACGCCTTCTGTAAGTGTGCCCAGACTGCAGGGGAATCATGCCGTGTACATTCGCTGACCGTGCACAGACAGTGGTTAACAGTCTCTCTTCCTTCTTTGAGATAAGCTACAACGGTATGAAGAGATACTTGTCCCCGGCTACCCCCAAAGTGTAGACTTTGCACCTCTTCAGCAAATTTGTAACTATAATTTTCAGAAAAGTCCATGTGGAGTAATGTTTCGTCATGATTAAGGGATTCTTTCAATAGAGTAACAGCTTGATGTTGATTGAGGATGTTCACAGTATGAATAAAGAATTTCGGAAGGGAATGCTCAAGTTTAAGTATCAGGTCTTTAGGCATTATTTTCCTTGTAAATTTTTTCACTATATTTATTTCTTTGGAGCTTAATTTCTTTTTATCTCTGCACCATTCATGGTACTCGATTTCGTCCGTATTATTAAATTCATTGTACGATATAACTCTGTTTTTACAAGTTTTACAATCTCTGCCAACGCACTTTTTATTGTATTTGTCGCAACAAAGAACGTGCAGCATATCCCGGTAATTCCTTATGTCAACTATTTTATTTTTCTTTAAAGCTAAAATCATTAGATCTATATTTGTATGTGCCATACATGCACATGTTTCCCTGTCATCTCGTGGCAAATAGACCCAAAATGGGCGTAGTCTTGTAAATGTTACATAACTAATCAGTATGTTAGGATTCTCTTCAAGAAATTTTTTATGCAAATTTTTAACAGAATCCAGCAGATACCGTTTTTGTTTTATTATTCCAAATTTTTTTACATATTGTTTCTTTCCTGCACCAATGCGGCTGTTAATGTCATCTTCATAAAAACTTTTGATTAATTCTTGGATGCTATCATTGCCTTGCTTAATCTTCTGCTGAAATCTGTCTTTAAAACACTTTTTACGAAACTCTAAACTAGGTCTACGTTTCAAATTGCCAGAAGACTTTAAAATACCTTGTTCGGTTGTCGCTTCTTTGGCAGCATCAGGGCTACTAGGTGTATGAATAGGAACTTGAGTAGGTAATGCAATGTTTTCTTCCCAAACAGTATATGCCTGATTTTCTTTTATTTTATTTAATTTCTTTGTCAAAATTCTGCAGCGCTTTTGGTATTTCTTAATTAATAAGGTCATTTCTCTTTTTTTCTATTGCATGTTTTAACTGTAAGGCTTTAATTTTACTTTGGAATGTTCTTTTCTTACTTTCTTTATTTATCTCTTTTTTTTACATTTTCCTCATACAAAGGATCGGAGAACTCTTTATCATTTATTTTTATGTGAGCTTCGAGCACTTGGGAAATGGTTACTTCTTGTATCTTCCGTTCTTGTGCTTTCTTCTCCAGGTATCGCTTCGAATTTTCTCTCCAACGCTTTCTTTGTGCTCTTTGTGCCCTTGGAGACATTTGGTTGATATTTTTTACTTTCTTCTCTCTTTTCCTTTTTAAGTAAGCCTCCTTTTTTTTAGCCCTTTCAACGGCATATTTTTCGGGATCGCTTTTTATTCTTTTATATTTTTCCCTTCTTGCAATCCTTCTCCTTTCCAACTCATCTTCATTTTTCTTACATTTTTCTTTCACCATTTTAAACCTTAAACAATTTATCATATACTATAAGGAAAATCCATCTCATAATTTTAACAAATAAATTAATGGCACTTATCATGAAAAAAATGAGAGAAACCTCTTAAAGTTTGCAAGTAAAAGTAAGGTTTAAAAGCAAATTTGATGACACATAAGCTAAAAACAAGAAAATAATCATAACCCTTCTTTTCGTAGTCAAGTGATATACCGTTTCATTCGTGTAGCATTGCATTTCATTAGTGTTACTCAAAAAAATGACACTAATGAAGTGACACGAATGAAATTTTCAACCAACAATCTAATTTATTGCGTCGTAGAATATTCTAGACGCCATTAAGAGCCCACAAAATATCCGCGTTATTCGTTGCTAATATACGTGCATGATAAAGAATCCATTGTTCAAATACTTATTATCACACTATCATAAACACGAATGATTCAGTTTTCGTACTAAGCACAGAAATTCAATAAAAAAGCGATTTCTTACCAGAATTAACGATGCACGCGTCTGCTATCACCGACCGTTCTCGTGCCACTAGGGTACTTCTTTACGTGCGTAAAAGTGGGGATAGCAGTAATGCACAGGTGTTCTTAATAACGGAACGTTTATTAAGTCGACACTAATGATTGAAAAAAATGGTCACAAAATAAAACAGAGAGAAATCGTATTATATTTTGTATTAATTTAAAACTATTAGCATAACTTAAGTATATGGTTATTAATGTGTAACCAGAGTAAAAAAATATACGTTTTCACACAGTAGTATTTTTCATAGTTAAAGTTTTGTTGAAAAAATCGGGGGAAATGACCGGTGACACAAATGAAAAAATAGATAGTTTCTTTTGATTATCTGGAATGTTACACATGTAAGTTTAATATTCCAAACTGTACAATATTAACATGTTATGTAAGTATCGCGTTATAAAGAAATAACGTATATTCCAACAATATTAAAGGAGTTATTTCAAAAACCCACTTTTTACGGATGGTTTGAAATCGACCCCTTGACGGGTCACTTGTCTTGATAAAAACATGTGTTTACATCTAGTGATATTGTGTGTATATAAAAAAAGTAAGAAGACAGGTAAGTATTTTTGAAAACAATTTATAGGTAGGCAGAACTAATTACAATTATTATCTAAATATTATAAATGCGAAAGTTTGGATGGATAGATGTATGTTACTCATCACGCCAGAACAGCTGAAGGGATCTGGATGATATTTAGCTCAGAGATAGGTTATACCTGGTCTGGAATAACACATTTTTTGATACCGTTTATTCAGGTATTTCGTTCCTGTGGGATAATTTTCGAGTTCACGCGTTTGAAGCCGCTGGCAACAGCTAGTACGGATATAAATTGCGATGACTGTTCCAGTTCATGCTTCGGCGTCGTGAACTCTTGAGTGATCGCTGCATGACCACCCGGGGAAAACAAAACATAATAAAATAAGCAATCTATATTAGGTATCTATAGAGCCATAGAGGTATAGTATAAAGCGATAACGTATCGCAGTGCCTAATAATTTAGTACGAGTTTTACCTACAAACTCGTACTAAATTATTTACTGCTGATTTCTTAGCAAGCGTCGAGCGGCACAGAATAGGGTGGTATGTATGTGTGCATCGTGTTCGTGTAACTTCGTTTTTGTTCTAACGGTTCGGAACGCCGTACGAATAAGACGTGCTGCTCTTCACTGGTACTATCTCTGTCGGGCACGATGCCAGGTGAGACAACGTGCTTTTTGGCCGCGCCCACCAATGAGTTCGAGCACGCGACTTGAGCCACCTTAAGGCTGCGTCCCCAGTAGGCAAACTGTTAGCCGCCGACTGAGTTAGCGGCGTATCGGTTTAGTACGCCCTTCCATATATTTCAAATGGAGTGTTCATAGTTTGCTAGTTTTGCGCTCACTGTACGCAGTTTGCAGCGTTACGCGCGCCGACTATCTTAGTGAGCGGCCGACTCCCACCAAAACCGGTTCCAGTCGGCGGTGGCGATTGGTTGTTCGCCGGGCGTAGTGGCTCAGCCGCAAACTGATTATTCGGATATTTTTTGCATCGCACCTAACTAATCTCAACGCACACACACATCACTAAAAATCCAAGATGTCCTTTGATACGGAAAGGTTCATTAGTGAAATACAGAATAGACCATGCATATGGAACATGTCGAGTGAAGAATACAGCAACAGAGTATTAAAGCAGAGCAATTGGAATGATGTCGCTGATATTATATACGATGATTGGCAAAACTTAGAAGAAAACACTAAACAAAAAAGAAGTAAGTTCCATTCTAATGAATTTATTATTTATTGAACAATATACTTGTATCACTCACTACATAAAACAAAGTATCATAATTTACATAGCATTTACGGCTTTACACACTCCGTTACACTATTTCTTCCTGTAGCTACAACTTACAAATATTTATCTTGCCAGAGTAGCTTTCCTTCGTTAAGAAAATAGTTTTTAAAGTTTTCTCTTGTTATTTTTCCAGAATTTGATACAGTAATAATTTGGCTCCTTGAACTTGGAAGAGTTATTGAGGTACGTCGCGAAATATGTGCATATTGTGCTTGTTGCTCTTGCTATGACAAAATTATGTAAAATACAAACAGCTTTTACGATAGCGATGGTTGTATTCACATTAGTAGCGATCGGTGTATGCAGAACTCTCCATTTGCTTGTTAGGATGCCGAATGCACATTCCACGCATCTCCTAGCTCGACTATGACGATAATTGTAAATTCGCTCTTCCTTATTTAAACTTTTATTAGGAAAAGGCCTCAAGATATGCTTTTGTAATCCAAATGCCTCATCTCCAAGAAACACGAAAGGTTGGGGCAATCCATTTGAATTAGGCAATTTAGTTGAGTTAGGAATCTTCAGAGACCCATACGCCAATTTTTTGCCAAAACCACTTTCTTTAAATATATTACTGTCAGCATTTCGTCAGCAAGCACCTACATCAATAGCTATAAAAGAACAGTTTTCATCTGCTACGGCTAACAGAACAATTGAGAAGAACTTCTTATAATTAAAATAGTTGGACCCACTTTTTGGTGGTTTTCTAATACGGATATGCTTGCCATCGATAGATCCTATACAATTAGGATAGTTGGTTTATTTATTATATCGTTTTGCTATTTCTAGCCACAATTCTTCAGAAGGTTCCGGCATTTCCTGTGGCTGTAAAATATCCCATATAATGCATGCAGTTTCACTTATTATTTTCGATACCGTCGACTTTTCAACAAGAAACTCTTGTGCAATTTTTCTGTAACTTAGTCCACTTGACAGGAATCTGGAAAGAATATTGAACTACCGATTATTTCTGTTTCAGTAAAAGACCTACAAAAAAATGGAAGGGTTTGCGCGACTATCACACCAGAGAAAAAAATAAGGATTCCTCAGTCAAAAGCGGAAGTGGGGCAACAAAAAAACGCAAGACACCATACTTGGACATGTTACACTTTTTAAATGTTTCTAGAGCTAGCAACCAGACATCTGGCAATATTAGCGCCGAGACGTCTAGCGACAGTAGCGCTATTTTAGATGAAAATGATTCTACTGACTCGGTAGTTAATGTCAGTAGACCAAAAAAGATGACTGTGTTTCAAGAAGCACTAATTAACTCGATGGAAAAAAAAAGAAAACTATCCAGATATGAACTTTCTACTAAATATTTTACCGGAAATGAAGACAATGTCCCCAATACAGAATTTTGAATTTCGGTTCGAAATGATGAAAATTATTAAAAATATAAAATATAGTGTACATAATAATTATGACGGTGGTATGATGCAAACTGGATGGACGAATGCCTACCAGTACCCACATCAGTATGGCTTTGCGAGTGGAAGCAGCAGTACACCAAATGTGCAAAACTACCCTCGAAACAGTCCATCACATAGCTCTACAGGTTCTTCAGCGGAAGTAGAAGACATAGAAGCAATATTACGAGGCGTTTCAAACCACATTGAAGATGAGGAATGACTGGTTACCAACTTAATGTTACCATATTTGTTCCTAATTCAATTTAATAATACAGTAATTTTGAAAAATGATTGTTAAATTAAAAACTATAAATGCGAAAGTGACTGTATTAAAATAAAAATAACATATTTTTTTAAAATTCTAAAGCTTTAATTATTTACTTACCTCAAAGTTATAGTAAGCCGTTCTTCAGGACATAATGTATCTCTTGTGCTTTGTGCTTTTTTTTTAGCTATGTACTGGGTTATAGATTTCAACAATTCATCAAATGTATGAGAAGTCATATTGAAATAGTCGTAAAATTTTTTCTGGATGTTTCCTTAGTTCTGGGTAAAGAGTGTGAAATTGTCCAATGCTCAACCTTTTCTTGTATAATGGGTGAACCCAGTGCTTCCTTTTATCCTCTTTCAACGCTTCTAAGATACCAATTACTTCAAAAATATCCATCGTGACGTGTATAATTCAGTCGGTCGGCTAAATAAGCGACTAACTCTTAACAGTTTGCTTGCGACGCACAAAAAATTGATTTGAGTCTGCAGCTAACTCAAATTTCAGTTCGCTGCAAATTTGCGGCTCACTCAGTCAGCCGCTAACTGTTTGCCTACTGGGGACTCAGCCTAAGATTGCTCAGTAAGCAATGGAATGCTAGTTAGAATTCGTAATAAGGATATCTGCAGTAGAACCAGAAAACCAAGATCGCCTAACAGGTTAATAAACTGATGTGGCAATTGCCCACATATACAGCTCAAACAACTGACAACCAATGACAAAGATAGGTTATCAAGTGGCAGCCTTGTACTGTTAAACAAAGTATGGGGTGACAACCCTGGTAAGACACGCAGGTGGCTCAGGATTGCTTTTGTAGTTTTCTTTGATCCTCAAAGCCCCCCTATATTCAGCAGTGGACTTGCGAAGGGCTGTAATAATAAAGATGATTTACTTCAATGAAGAATAAGAGCAAAAACTAATTTGAAAGTTAACGAAAAAAAAAACAGATTAAAAGGGATATTTGTACATTTAAGTGATATTTTATGTGGTAGAGCCACACTATAGCTATATTATAGGTGTAGCACAAATGAGTCGGCTCGACTGGGGGAACGCCACGCTCTCACCGAATACCAGCGTATACTAGCAGCGTAGTGTTGCTGGGTCTCTATGGTGAGTGTAGAGAACCAAAGACCCTTTTTACTAGAATCGAGACATTCCATCTTAGTCCTCAGGTGACAATGCATTTGCATTTTGAATCTTAATCGAGGATTGATGTGGATGTCGATGGGCCACAGCATCCACTTACTATGTGGTCGACTGTGTGCTCATTTGTCACCCAATGGTATAAAAAAAATATTCTAACTGAAACAGATTTTCATGAAACAAGTTCTTAATCATAGTTTTATCCCTCAATTTTAATTTCCCTTTGATTAAAACTAGATTTACGGATGTTATCGTGTTTAATTTTAATTATTTTAAATTCCCGACATTTCGGGTGCTTTCCAGCAGTTCTCAGTCCCCCGTGACCCCCACGGTCACTGACTGAGAAGACTGAAATCACGATGTTATTGTTAAACCCGGAGTAGCTTCAGCTTTTTTATTGTTTATGGTTCAATCTATGCAAAATGAATTGACTGTCTAGAAGTCTTGTAGTAGTAGCATATAACTGATGTGAAGCATCAACGTTCCGGGAAGTCTGCAGTTTATGATCATATCCTAGACGGCCCCAACCATTACATCAGATTTGATAAGACCACAAATCCTTGCGAAAGAACACCGATTCCTACCACAGACGATACGTGAGGCAATTGAAATCAAAAAACATCCAAATTTCAATAGAGAAAGAGGGTGGGTACAACCACCTGCTTGGGACCCTAAAGTTAGTTTACGACGGGCTGTTTTCCGCAACTCCACGTCTCAGCGCGTATTTTGCGTGTGGGCAGGAATAATGTGGTTATTCGAGCCATGATATCTCCCCAAAGAAGCTCAGCAGTCCAAGATGTTGCAAGAAACTTCGGGGAGTGATCCCGGCGTGCCGAGATGTTTAGCCCTGTATGAAGCGACCTCTGGACATGTCAGCAACATGTGAGCCGCTGTTTCTTCCTCTCTTGGGACCCTATAATAAATAATATTAAAACTAAACCCAAGCATACCACTGCAAGACAGTCAGTTCATTTTGCATAGATCGGACCATAAAAAATAATTAAAAAAGCTGAAGGTACTCCGGGTTTAACAATGACATCGGGACATCAGTCATCTCAGTCCCCTGTGACCATGGGTGCTGGAAAGCACCCGAAACGTCGGGAATTAAAATTAAATGCGATAAAATCCATAAAAGTAGTTTTAATCAATATGCAGTGTTCATGTAAATATAAGACATCATTATTTAATTTCCGTTTTTATGCAGAGTTTGTATACCAATTAAGTTTAACATGTAATATGTCATTGCCGAATTCCTTATATCTGCCATAAAGAAAGAAAGAAAATGAAAAAGATCATAAATTACGAATATTTTAATTGACCTATTGAATATATTGTTTGTCCAGCTTTTGTAAAAAATACACTCATTGATGAATTATGTGACTGAAACATGCTTGGTGAGCTAAGATTCCATTTCCACAGGCTTTCTTCCTGACTTTGAATGCTGATAGAAGCCCAATAGTTATTTAAATCTCTACTTAAAACATATTCTGATAATTTAATACATAATTGCGTGATAATAGTAGGTGTAAGAAATCCTTTTACAATGAGTATGGATATTCTGCTTGACTCAAGTGGTTTCATACTCTCTGGTTGAGTATAAGTACTGACATAGGCTTCTTTAGGCGTAACATTTGCCCCATGACTTAACATTCCTACCCATTCAACAATTTCTTCAATCTCGGCACCTTCTAAAGAAGGTATTTCGGTTATTTCAGGTGATACATATCTTAGTTCGAGGGAACAGACTGCCACATGTATATTTTTGTCATGGAAGTACTTTGCTATGGACGATGGGCATATTTCCTCTGAATTTGGTTCCCAAAGTACATAAAAATCGAAATTTCCAAGTTTACATAATGCATCACAAATTTTTTTATAATGCTTAAGACTTTTTAAATCTATTTTTATTTCATAGTAATTATTTGGCCGCTTTGTTCCTTCTAGACCAAGTGTTTGATAAATAAATTCCAAGATATGCAGTGTAAGAACTCCGTCAGGTGTAATAGCAGTGCAGTTTTGAACTATACAGTTGCTGTCAGCAGTTAAACAGTATAAACTTCCACGTTTCACAAAGCTTTCAACGAACACAATATCTACCAGCTCGGTGAGAGGGCAATTACATAATTTATAATAATCACTGTCTTCTAAAATCATTTCTTCAATAGGACTCGGTATTTTTATTTCATCTGGACAGGTGATGATAATACTTTTGTAGAACTTATTTAATTTAATTCCTTCGTTGACGGATTCAATATTTAGTTTTGTTTTTTGGTAAGTAATGACTTTGGGCGGAGAAAAATTCGAAACTTCTGGACAGAGCATCTTTTAAAGAACACATTTAACGTTATTTAAACTTAATAAATTCGCAATAATTAACGAACATTCTAACGCTATGAACTTATAAGCTTATAACCTTAAAATAGAAATTCAAATTTTAAAACAAATTGAAGGTTGTTGTTGTTACGAGTGCGAGTTAAGGCAGATGAAGATCTTAGAACATACAGCCTTTTATGATTTGTAATTTATTCATATTACATTAATGCGTCACATTGCGAAATACTTGATTTTTGATAACAGCCTAATCCAGCGTAAAGAAGCTTAAAAAAGGCATCATGTGGAAAATAAACCTAACATTTATACCACAATGCATTTGTTACAGCGCTTTCACTAATAGTTTACTTTTGCCTAAGTACATTTAATACATAAAAACGTACCACATTTACACATTAATCAGCTTTTAAACCATGGAGGTTAGATAGAAGGAGAACAATCGCTGTAGAAAATAGTGTTCCAGAAATATGGACAAAATTAAGTGAGGCGCTGCGATCGCTAAGTTGTCTCAATAAAGGTCATTTTCAGTCTATTTTCCGATCAGATGCTAAACTACTTGCACATCCACGCACAATATATTATTTCACCATTTTTCAATATTTATTTTTGTCAAAAATTAAAAAATTACGGAGCACGAATATTTTCTCACCAATGTCGCGAAGAAAAGTATATTATTCAACTAACTTCATCTGCTTGTACCCATAAACAGTTAACTTCGCAGATACTACTTACCGACGTATTTTGAAGGACAGGAGGGCTATGTTTAAGTACGTAGCGATCGTTCTCCTTATCTCTAACCTCCATGTTTTAAATAATAAATAAGAGATAAAATAAGAGTAGCACGTAGTGTTAAGCAGTGTGACTAACTAGCATTTAATATACAAATTAATATTAAGACTGATTGACATATTACACATTAAATAACTTAAGTAAGGCACTTTCATATAACGCAGCGTTTAGTGTATACAATTCTGTGATCACGTGATGCCTTCACCTCATTATCTACTTCAAAATAATATTTCTTGATCGAAATTAAGACTTCCCCATAATACATTTTGAATTTAGTTCTGACTTAGTTTAATTTCGACGGCAATCGGACCGGCCGTCGGACCTGTAAAGATCCGGTGGATACGGGACCTAGGTGTAGATCTTTAGAGTTGAATGTATCTCCGGACTCAACTCCAAATTATCGTTTGACCTACCCTACCTGTGAGTATTCAACCAACTTAAGAGGCCATGCGCGTTAATTCCTAAGCAAAAGTTTGTCAATTTCAAGGGGACGCGAGGCAAACACACTACTGTATACTTCACTACAAATACAAAAATGAATTGTGTCACTATATACGCACACTACAACATTTACGTTTGTGTTCATTGCATTTACACATACTATCAAACTGTACACGCGTCGACACTGGTGCCGCTGTCTACATGCGTAAGCAACGTAAGGCGAGGACTATGTCGATATTTTTATCGATAAACAAATAATCATAGTCCGCATAAGTTCAACGTTGGTAAAAGTGATTTTTAGTGTTTTTTCATTCATTACAGCCCTTCACAAGTCCACTGCTGAAAATAGGCCTTCCCCAAGAATTGCCACAAACCACGGTCCTGAGCCACCTGCATCCATCGGCTTCATGCATGTCTTACCAGGTCATCCTCCGTCTATTAGGGGGTTGCCCTAAACTTCACCCACCGGTACGAGGCTGCTTCTCGAGAACCTTTTTTCCATCGCTTGTCGGTCCTTCGAGCTATATGGCTG